GAACTCTCAAGAATGGGGGAGGCCCACGTCTTTGAGGCCATGTCTTCTAAGAGCTGAAGAAGTAGACTATATTTCACATATTACAAACAACATATTGTACTGTGATAGTACAAGAGCTGAGTGCTAGATATAAAATACATATCACACTACGAAATTGAATTCGATCCCCGCTGTCACTAGGGTTCTATTCACAGTTAAAGCATTAATTTAGGTGTGTAAGTACGTACGTACGAAAAGTGTTATGTGGTGGAACTTCTTTTCTGTCTAGGAGTTCGTCTGTATTGATACAACACTCTTACTCATTTCTTCCACCACGCAACAGTTGTGCGACCACTCCTGTTTTTGATTATAAGGGTTTCGCATGTTGCAAGTATCCATAGGTTATAGTAGCAATCAAGAATCTTGTATAATGTTATGTCTGCGTTAATGGAAATTATCGTAAGGTAACATCCAAGTTTAAGTTATTTAATACATTTCAAGGACATTTAAAGATTCCAAATTTGCAGAGAAGCAGCTAGGCGGAGTCATTACTGCCTGTTAGCCAATTTAAAATGAGAAGAAGACTTAACTCAGCTGTGGGAAGTAGGATGAGAGTCACTTTAATTTCACTATAATAATCTTATGCACAATATTTATATGCTTTCAAATAATATTTACCAAATAAAAGCAAAATCAATTTTATATGGTAATCATTTTTTAAAACTTTGGAACGAAATCGAAATCAAACTGAAATATATTTATGTATAAGCATTAGAAGTTAATGTTTTGAAAATCGAAATTTGTAAAATGTAACGCATTCTCCAGGTGATTTTCTTTTTTAAATATTGGTGATACCAGGATACGGATTTTTTTTTCAATTTTTACAGTCTAACCCATTTCAATCATCTTTTATATGAACTTACCTTATCTCATATCTTCTACTATATATTTGAAGTACGTGTATTGGTATGTTGAACTCGGAAGACTAGGTTTTATAGCATACAATCCATCTTTTGATGTTTATTTACAATTTAAATCACAAGCGTATAGTTTAGCCAATTCGTTTTTTAGTTCGTTTGTGAGTCCGTCTGTTAATTAATGTATGAACCTGTTTGTGGATTCGTTTGTTAATTAGTCTGATTGACTAATTTAATGAAAATGTTTATACAGAATAGGGTGTTGTCGATTTAAAGTTCAAATAAATCATCATCACATATCTAATTGAAACAAAAACATAATTACTGATTCCATGCGAAGGTGGTTGCAGGCATATTAAAATAAATTTAGAAAAAAAATATAATGGCACTAAAAATATTTAGAAATATTAATAAAAATATGGTTTTTGTTCAGCATTGGACCTGTGCTGTAATGATAGTAATGATGTTACTTTAATGAGGTATAAACGCCATAATGATTACATGGTGCCGTCCACTATCTTCACATTCTTGTACCTTTATTTTAACATTTAATTTATTAGTATGTAGTCCTTTTTTTAAATTTAAATGACCCCGAATTATAAACTTTATTTATTTAACAGCTTCAGTTTTTTTTTTCAACTTTTTAAATTTATCAGCTTCGTTATATATAAGGAAGAAGGGTTAAAAATTTTATATTCTAAAATAATCCCGTCTAGTTTTAACATGTTCATAGTAATTAAAGTTGATAAATAAATCAAAATAATTTAAAAAATATACTCTCACCAAAAATCAACCAAAATATTAAAGAAACATCGGATTTCATTTTGAGCTGAAGCGGAGACGCAAGCACTAATTGACTGACTGACCTAAAACCGAACTTCACTTTATTGAAGTTTATCTTAGTAAGATTTAGTATTATCGATTTCTCACATGTGTTAAGTTGAATAATATTTACTTGAATAATATTCTTTATGAATCAGGGAAAAAGCTTCTCATTCGCATTAACGACATTTTAATATTGTATAAACGATCAAAGGTAAACTGAATCGCTTCATTGGCTATCAAATGGCAACAACAGAATTATCAAATTTACGTTATGTTTCCTTGCGAACTCATCTAATACTTAAAGTTAAGTATTACCATTAGAATATCTCTAAGCTAAATAACAAAAAGCTAAATATGCCTGTTTGTGTTTTCGTAAGTAATATTTATAAACAAGTTGTTGTAAGAATAGCTTGAGGTATGGAGGAGAATCCGTGGTCGCCAGGGGTTGCTTGCTGTAAATTTTACAGTACGCAGCAACCCGGGTTCAATTCCCGCTGGCACGAATGGCAATGGTAACAATTTGAGTACGCAACTATTAGGTCCTCGGTGGAGAAAAAACATTGTAAAAGCATAAGGTGAAAATAATTTTATGACATGAAAAAAATTTAGAAATACATAGGCTGTAACTTTACTTTGCAAGAATGCTTGTGAAAATATTACGGATCCTATTTTTAGATGTGACTATTTCTCGCTCATCTAATTAATCCATGAAATGACCGCCGGACAATATGTTTAGGGTAAACCATCAGGGTTTAAATCAGGGGATCCTGGTTTAAAACCAAGCAGATCAAACATTTACTTAGAATTTAAATTTTTACGTGACCCTTGTCTCTACCACTGTTAGACGACTGCATGACTTCGTCGTCGTTTTAATCCCAACCTAACCTTATTGTCTTGTGAATATGCTTCTGAGAGTCTGATACCGATTTCATGTGGTAAAACACACTGCAACTGTGAAAAGAACGCGGCACGACGAAAGATGGACCATACACTAAGTAACCAGTACCGACATAAAACACCAGCATAATGCTGTGGTGTTTCGTATAATTCGTATCGGAATCCTGAGGCTTTTCATCATTTCATCTTAAACGCATTAGAGTTTGATTCTAGTTGAAAATAGAAATAGATATCTATGATCTTCAGCAGAGTCCGGTTAATTACAAACTGTGATGACTTCATTGTCAGCGTAAAGACTAACTTATCTTCAGGGTGACAAAACACTGCCACGTAGCCTTCTTTGTTTGAAGTTGTTGCAGATATTACATAATAGAATGTCCGTTCGTTTGTCAAATTAAATTTATAAAAATAACTAAATACGAGTATTTGTTCAAATCTACTTAAATATAAATTTGAAGTGCGTTCGAGCATTTGAGCTGATTTGAGGTTATGAAGGATCGTGATTCGTGAGCCTCGGAAAGGATTTCGAAATGGTTCACACTTACCTTAAGCCTACATCTCGTGCATTATGAACCAAAGGGAAAATGCGTAGTCACTTCTTAGGACTAAGATGTAATAACATGTCAATAAAAATAATCTCCGTTTAACGTCATTTTCTGTATAATAAAGTCATAAATTTAATATCACAATACCAGCACGAATTGAGATTTCTGTCACGTAGAGTAAATGCGCAGCAACCTCTATATAAACCTTATCTTTTGTTTATGTTTAGGCTAAATAAAGTATTTTTCAATTTTTTTTTTATTATAAACTTAATAGAACATACATCAGAGGTATGCTGCTAATATATTCAATATAAATTTAAATAAAAAATGGTCGCAATTGGCAGCCCCCCCGCCCTCTTATCAATAAAATATTTGCTACCAATTCTCTTTTTTTGTTTCATCTCAAAATTACGGCCTTTGCGCGTTTTATTTCTCGTATTGTAAACTAATACTAAAGGTACTATTAAAAAATAGTCGATATATAACTTATAGAACTCAGATAGTTCTGTTAAATTTAAATTTTACTAAGAATTTTATACTTTCAACGCTCAGTAATTTCTGGATACAGTCCTCTACTACAGTTAGATGAATTTCTTATAATTACCACACTTGTCTCAAAGGTTGGTGATATCAGTACTCAGTGCCGTACGTTAGCACGAACTCAGACCATGTTGCTGATAAATGTGTGTTATGTTATATCTGGCATATACGAGACGATTTTACCGTCATCTATGTGAAGCAATGAGATTTGGTATTTCACATACTAGTCTCATACTATACCCGCCAGATGATTCGAGCGATATATTCTTTTTCGCCGTCAACCCACGATCATGCATTAATAATAAATAACTAAATATACAGATTTATTATATTTACGCGAACACTACACATTGATTAAAATTACTTTTATGGATTTTATCGCGTTTAATTTTAATTTATTTTAAATTCCCGCACCCATGGGTACTTTCCAGCACCCATGGTCCATGGTCACCCATGGTCAAAATTAAACCCGATAAAATCCGCAAAAGTAGTTTCAACTAAACATACTTTCCAAGTAATCAACTAAACATACTTTTCTAACCTAACTGAATGCAGTAATATTTCTAGGGGCTAATAGAAACTTCACAGGCCTGTCTACATATTTTAATGCATGATATGTAGATTCGCCATTGAATATCAGAAAACATCATACAAGCGTTTCTAAATCAATGTTCGGACAAATAGTTTAACAAAACTTCGTGATTTTTGACAATACTCGCACTTTATTTCAATCGCTCACATGCATTGTACATGTAGGTTATATAATAGACTCTGTACATATATATTATACTTAATATTTAGTTAAAATTTAATCATGTGATACATATTATGACTTGTTAGTTTTCTAAGCATATGATGAAATACATGGAGATGGACATGGTGGTTGAGGCTGGTACAATGAAACGACCGCGCAGCCTGAAGTCCTAAAGCACGATGGAGGGTTTGGTTGGAAGCAGATGATGGGTGGGCGCGGTACTGTAATCCTGGGGGGTGTCACAACTAGTAATTCCGGTGCTGGTGGCTATATTTGGGGTGGCTGTACCTTAAAGTTGATCATTAAATACTTCGTCTCTAAAGAGTAACATAATAAACATTCACATTGTATTAAGCATATTCATTTAAAATAATAAAAATTGTATTACAAAATTTAAATGAAAAATTCATACTTCTTTTCATTTAAATTATGTTCTGTTATAAAGTTCATACTTTAATTGGAGCAGGCTTTGGTGGTTGAACCGGCGCCGGTTTAACAACAATCGAAGCAGGCCGAGGTAGATACACAGGCTTAGGCCTAACTTCAATTGGTGCTGGGGTCGGGGGGTTGCGCTAAGTCTGGCTTCACGTATATTGGAGCCGGGGCAGCTGGTTTAGATGGTGGTGGTTTTACCCAGATAGCAGGTAGTGTTGGCAGATGGATAGCTCCTGGTCTAACAGTTATTGAGGGAGGTGCCCGAAACCGAATTTGACTAGGTTTTAAGACCACTAAACCTGTAAATCATTAAGTTTTAGTTTTATTTTTTTAGAATGTATTACTTCATAATGAATTAAATTATTTTACTGAATTTAGATTATTATTAAATGATTTAGTTTGTATGAAAATATATTATTTTTACCCTGGGGTGCCTGACCATACAATTATTTAACAGATGGATCAGAAGGATTGCAAGGACCGAAGTTTATCACTTCATTGTCATCAGAACACGGAGGTGGGCATGGATCACAAGGATCACACAGATGTACTGGCTTATAGGGTTCACATGGAGGATATTCCCCGAACGGAATTTGAGGATCTGGGTCAGGTATCGGTTGACTTAAAGTGGTCCCCAAAATAAGTGCTGCAAATTATTAAAATATAAATTTAAATAATATTTGAAAAAATCCAAAAGTGCACGCCTTACACGCTTATTATATTATGAATTTATGTTATTAGTGACTATAATTTTTACAAGAAAAAAAAAACAGAGAATCTGATCAATTGTCATTAATAACTTTTAAACGGTGTTGAGTTAAATAACAAAAACAATAGGGATCGTCAAAATTTACCTTCTTATATTATAACACTTTTTCATTGGCTGAAAACACGGACAAAATGACGCTTTCTAAAAATGAATCCTAACTAGATCAATTTATTGCCCTCGAAACCCCTGGACACAAAATTTTATGAAAATCGTTGGAGCCGTTTCCGAGATTCCGATTATATATATATACAAGAATTGCTCGTTTAAGGGTATTAGATAATATCTCAATCTGTTGCTTACATTTCTATTAAACGAGAAGACTCACCGACGCACAGAGCAAGGGACGGCAGTCCATATATATTTTCAATTACATTTTTGTTCGTTTTGTTTAAAGTGAATCAATAATAAAATAAACTAATCTTATAATTAAGTATCTGTAATTATTGTAACTTTGGTAATAATATGGATTTGATGTCTAGCTAAAAGTACAAAAACGATTTTATGTAGTGAAATTGATGTGTGCCCACATATCGAGAGTAGAGCACTCACTCACGTTGTGAGGCGTGCAATAAATAATTATTTGCTGTTAAGGATACGGGTATACTAATAGGAACAGACAGTAAGATCCTAAGGTCTTCGATTAATGGTCAATTAATCTGGCTTTGTGACAACGATGATTTTAGATCGAGATTTAAAGTTTGATAACTTTGTAAGGAACCTGTATGTCTAAAAAAATAAAATGTCGAGGATTAGTGAAGTTCACTAATGCACATGAAACAGCACAATGGACACTTTTTTGCTTCATAACCTTCCAAAAAATGATTGAGATGCGCATTAGATTATGATGGTAGTGGAGTTTTTAAAGAGTTTTTTAATCTCCAAAAATATCTTCCCTGCATTGTGAGAGCATTGAAATAAGTCAAACATAAAATAAAAATATAAATAAGAATAGCTATAATTACCTGATTACCAAATGATTTTACCCCACGCCATCTTGCGGTCGTCTGATTTATCCAAATAAAATTTTCAATAGTTATACATAAAAATGTTTATTAATTTTAATGTAATCAAACTTTATCGCAAATGTAGATTTTAAAATCAATAATGTAACACTAAAACTGGCATAATATTCAAGTATTTGAAAATATTTTTATCTTTAAATAAAATATACTGAAATGGTTTGAGGACATAACATAAAATATTCTCATATTACCTTTATCAATTCATTACATTTGAATAGCATTTCATGCAAAGTTTATACTTTGATTAAATATCAAAACACAATAAGGTTTTTACCGTGTAGTGATGGTGAAAAAACATCCACTAGCCCAGTGATTCCCAAAGTGATCGACCTCTAGGGGTCTATAACAACCTGCAAGGGGTCTACGTCAGCAAAAAAAAATTGGGGGTCCATGAAATGAAAATGGGGGTCCACAATAGTGGTTCTCAACACATACACTGATAGTATCTATATACTTACATCATACTATCTTATAATATCAAAACATATACATTATTTATAAAAGATTTATGTCTTATTTTATATTTATTTAATGTTACGTATATTTTACATAACAGATACAAAATTTTATTTTGAGTAGTTTTAATTTAGATTCAATTGATAAATGTATAAATTAACATGTGTTTTTACTTTAAGTTTTTAACACTAAACTTCACTACAGTTAGAAATTTACAGAAAATCAATATCAGGTAAGTAGGGGTTCTACCCAACACGGAAAAACATGGCAAGGGGTCTACAACACAAAAAAGTTTGGGGAACTCTGCACTAGCCTATATCATCCCGTGAGTGTCGCAAGAGGCGACAGAGGGCGAAATCAGGAGATGGGTAGCAGTGTCTTCCTAATAACGACTTAAAATAAAAATTAATATGAAAATTTTATTGTATGGAACTGGCTTAGTAAACATTAAATTAATAAATGTTTCTGTAATTCCTTGACGTGTTTTATTAGTTGTAATTTACCAAACCTATATTTTTATTCACATTGTAAAAACTTACCTCAATACAATTTTTTTTTGTATAGTAGTGACGGCTTAGGTGCAAGAACTGAATACGGACCAACATCCAAACATGAAACAATTACTTGTATGTCATATCATAAACACTTATTTCTTGCAGGATTCGAACAACACTTGGTCATTGTATTACTGAAATATTAAATTTATTTTATAGATGTATCTATACATGCGTACGAAGAAGCTCAAGATCGATTAGTGAGCTATTAAGAGGGCTCTGTTAGGAGTTACTTTGTGTGAAAGATTCAGAAATAAGGGTATTTACATTAGTACTAGGGTAACCGAAATAGCTCAACGTATTAGTTAGCTGAAGTGGCAATGGGCCATCAATATAGCTCGAAGAACAGCCAACCTATAGGGACGAAAGGTTTTATTTATATTATATGTCATTTTTTCTGCTTGTCAAAATGGTAACACTTTCATCAGGATAAAGATATTAATTAATTTGCAACCGTCCGCCAACTAAATACAATGATGTGTCTAACCTGGATTAAAGAGCACCTCCCGCCCTTCCTCAATTGCGTGCACCAATACCATCACCACTAATCTCATCACCACTACTCCCAATACCACTACTCCTGGTATCACTACTCCTAACACCACTGTTCCAGGAAAGATACACCATCGACGATAATATATATTCTTCTAACGTGTAAAAGTGTGTAAAAATGTTAATCTTAGCGGTCAGACGCCGTAGAGTCTACATCATCTGAAGATGCCTCGTGTAGAGGTGAAACACGTGTCGTATTATCGTCGATGTATGTCTTTCCTAGAATAGTGGTGTTGGGAGTAGTGGTGCCGGAAGTTGTGGTTTTGGGATTAGTGTTGACGGGATTGGTGCATGCAATTGAGAGAGGGCGGGAGGTGCTCTTCAATCCAGGTAAGACACATCATTGTATTTAGTTGGCGGATAATCGCAAATTAAATAATATCTTTATTATAATGGATTTCCGCAAAGTAACGCCTGATTCTATCAATTAACTTTCATCAGGTGTTCCTCCTCTAAGGTGAGATGTAGTAACAGGTACACTTTCTTAATATTTCACCTAATGGAGTGGTTCGACTAGAGATGTCAATATATTTTCACTACTGTGATTATTAAAATCTTTTCTTTAATCCTACAAGATGTTGTCTAAAGAAAACATTTACAATTTACTCTTTATTTTTATTGCACAAACGGCTTAAAATGACAAAACTGATTAGGTTATTTTGTAGTAGTTTTTCGTAAAGATTTTTTTATTCATATTGCTAACTAGCAGTAAAATTTCACAGTTCGGGAAAATCTAGTGGCATATCTCGATATTTAAAAACGTATCTTTAGCAATAGTTGTTGGTTTTATTGGCACTTATAATGATTTTTTTCTGACAGATTTTCATTTAATGTTTGTTGTTTCGCTTATTTGGACTACATTATCTTGTTGTGTGATCGTAGAGTCAGTCACTGGTTTTTGACTAATTGGCGTATTAACTACATAATTTTGTTGAGTCTGTTCTGTGTCGTGTGACATAGATTAGGTATTTTTTGTTTTATATTGTCGAAGAAAATTCATACATAAAATAATTATATTTTATATAAACAATAAACATAATATATTAAACTTGTAGTAATGTAGCATTTACAAGCAGTGATTTGCAATTAAAATCTTGTACGAGTAGTCTTATACAATGCAATGTTAAAATAATAAGAAACAATCAATAAGCCTTTGGAATTTGCCGGGGATCGAGTAAGTTAGTATCTGATCTTATGGATAACGATATATTACAAATTATACCTTCAAAAAATTAGGCGGTTTGAGATTCCGATAAAAACACATTGGTAATTTTTTAATAATATCAATATCTGTGATGAGATTAAGACGATCTATAGAATCATTTTATTTTTTGGCCACAAATGGTAAGTATGCACTCAAAATTTTGTTAATTTGTAATTCGTGATATAAACTACGTGATATATCCTAATTTTAAGCTACAAAAATGTTTTTACCTATTTTCTCGGTGCAATATGTCTTCATATTACATGCAGGTACAGCCGTGATATTTTTTTGTACTATATCCCTGTAAAGAAATTTTAAAAATGGTTATGAGATTCAAGTCAAATTCGTTAAAGTTCCTTTATATTTTTTTATAAAACCAAAATCCGTGAATAAAATAGTTTTTTTAGGGTTAGTTTCCGAATTTTTTTTTTAATATTAGAGTGACAAACGATCACTCAGTCCACCTGATGGTAAAAGGTTGCTGCGGCCCATAGACATCTACATCTATCCTTGATTACAGATCAAAATGCAGATGAGTATTCTGTGAGAGCGTGGTCCTTACTTACATCTAATATAACTGCAGAATGGCTCTACTATTCGACGTATAAATTGGCTCGATTTGTCGTGTGGAACACACAATTTACAGTTACACAGTAATTTAAACTCGAAATAACATAATACTAATTCCTACCAAATAAATTAAAATATAAATAAAGTGAATTTCATCTACTTTTCAATAAACACGTTTCTCTTTTTATTTATATTTAATTGTTTGCTCGTACTCACAACGCAAACAGGCGAGTCGGTCATTGCAAACGCGCGTGGGACCAGCAACGCTGCCTACATTACCAGTCTGTGAAGTTTAAATTTTTAAATTAAAATTATTGCATATCAATTTTGGATGGATTGTTCCACATTACTTAATCGCCAAGTCTTGACTTTCAATACTTAGTGTTATTGTAATTGAAATACACAGAGATAAATTTAAATTAAGTATGACATTTGATTTATCAGTAACAAATTTCTCAAAATAAAGTTTAACATTACGTTATGTGGCTTAAATTGTTTTGAACTGTTTAATATAAAGGAAACATACAGTGAACTTCAAATGAAGTAGGCTAGAGATGCTACATTGCAACGTCTGAGGGATAAAATGGAATGCCTCACAATCTGACTGTTGAGACCTGAACACGGCAGAGCACGCTCGTACTGTACGTTCCTCGACGAACTTCTACGAGTAAAAATAAAGTGTCTTAGTGTTACTGTATAACAGCAGTAGTTATAGCAGAAATTTGAACGAAAAATAAAATTAATCATGTTTTTGTAATATTAAGTTTGCTTTAAATAAACGTCGTCAGTCCTGTTTTGTTTTCATCGCTAATAGGTGGTAAAAATAGTTTTATTCTTATTCGGGCATTACTTGGACATGCAAAAAAATTGGTTGACTTTTAGACGTCATTTATTTGTGGTAGAGCCATGTTGAAGTTATATTAGTAGTATAGTTGTAGCACGAATGGGTCGGCTCGACCGGGGAGGGACCACGCTCTCACAGAATACCAGCGTCAAATAGTAGCTAAATGCTGCTGTGTTTCGTATAGTGAGTGTAGGGAAGCGGATACCCTTTTTACTGGAAACGAGGTATTCCATCTTAGTCCTCACGGGTGACAATGCATTTCTGCATTTTGATTCGTAATCGAGGATAGATGTAGATGTCTATGGGCCACAACAACCACTTACCATCAGATGGACTGTGTGCTCGTTTGGTGGTAATTTGTTAGTATTTTAAACTCAGAATATGTTTTAATTTCGTTTTATTATTTTCCGTTACATCTACGAAAATATTTTTTTTAGTTTTAATTTTTATAGTTTCCAACTAAAATTTAAATCAATGAGATTATGGAAAATTAAGTAATTAAATAAGGAACAAATGCGAAAACAAAGGCTAATGCTAAATATAGAACTCATTAAGCAGTGAGTGAACTCGAGATTAAATTATACTTGGATATTTTCGTCGATCGGTTGAGTAGAAATGGTGCCGAAAATGCTCAGGTTTGCAAATATCATACCTGTATTTCATGTCATTTTGTTCTTAAGAAGTACGGGTAATTAGCGAACACACAATCAAGCGAATGCTGTGGCGTATATAAATCTACATTTTTATCCTCGGTTAAAAATCAATATTCAGATAAGAGAATATGGATTGGTATGATAATATGGTTTGTGGAAAAACAGTACCATTATATGAAAACATGTAAGCATGTATAAATAAGGGTTGCGTGTAAATGTCAAAATTTACATGCATCCGTTCATGTGAAAGGTGAAAGTACAGACATATTTTATAAATCACTATGATTAAAACGTACTCCAATAAAAATGAGAACACAAATTCCCGGTATTTGATGAATATTTCGTTAAAGACAAAACTTAACAAAGAAACAAAAAGAGAAAACTTAACAAATGGAATTATCATTACTATGACAAAAATTAATTCGAAATAGTATTGATGTAAGGTGATGAACAAAACAGTACGAGCTCCGATTTACTTATTAACTGTAAAACCATTTGTCTGTCAAATAAATCGCTAGTAAAATATTACATAATGTACTATATGTATATGAAGCAAGAATACTAAAAAACCAAATTGCATTTTGACATGACTATTGTGCGATTAACTAGGTTTCTTTTGTCACTCCACGAGAAGAAAAATCACTGCAGAATTATAGATTATGTACATACTTATGGCAAAATATTACGTATATGCCAAAATTGTCGTTATAAAGTTTGTCCAATACACATAAATCCTCTTTTTTACATGGACACTGGTTATGTTCTGTTAGACTTGCACCACATGACTCTATAGTATTCCACATTCGCTGTATTTAGTTAGGGCCACAAGAATGCTTTCGCACACATCTGCGAACTCACGAGTTCCAGCCGCCATTATATCGCTATCTTTATTGTATTGATGGTAATTACTTTGATACAGCATTTTCTTACTTTCTCTTTTCACTTTTTTCAACGTAGTAACAGATAGTAAAGGAACACCAGAAGTAATAAGATTCCCCGTCTTTAGTGTAGTCTCTTCTACATACAACATAATATATCTAATATCCTTTCATTTTTGCTGCTTTCTGCTGGAGCCCCTGAAGGAGTTGTTGGGATATTCTCTATGCAACAACAATGCTCGCACTTTAATAATTTTTTGGCGTCTAATTTCTCATCTAGTTACAATGTGAATGTCTTTCAGTTAAGAGTATTTAGGCCCTACACCAAGTTTAGTCAATGTGCTTTACAGTCTGCAGCTAATTCACAACTTAACATCAAGTGGAGGAGCATTCAAGCACTAGCTTATAATAATTAAAGTAGTTATAAGAAGAAAAAAAATTAGCCATGTTGTAACTTGTGATAAGTTGCGGCTACTACAGTCCACGGACACCTGTGCAGGCGCTGCTACCTGGCGGCAGAAATAGACAGGAGGGTAGTTCCTACCCGGACGGACCCATAGGCAGGAAAGCAGTCCTAACATCAGTAACCTTTATTTTTATGATCATTTAAAATACTATAAATTGTTATATATTATACGAATTTAAACATTGCGATTGCAAACTCTCTTGCAAAGCATGGTAACTATGGCAAGATACTCCCATGTTTGTATGAGTGATGGCTATGTTCTGCAGTGGGATATTATAGAATGTAACGGATGGCGGGATAAATATAATTATGGCATTATGCGGTGTGTTAATAACATTTCACTTTTAATAATCGACATTTGAAATTATTGTAGAGTTGGTAGAGCCACGCCTGCAGCTTTATGGTTGTCGCACGCATGGGCCGGCTCGACCGGGGAAAATAAATGTTCAATCTCTTTTTCAGAATCAGAATAGTTTATTTGTCAAACATAGGCAGGTTTAAACATTTAAAGTCTTGCGTTACAATTATTAGTACGCTATGTTTTGTCTTAAAGACATACAAATATAATGATGTGCACTTATGAGAATCATGCCATAAAATAAAATAGAATGAAAATTAATGAAATTGCTACAGTGATAAAATTAAATAGATGGCAATAACAAAATAATATCATTAGTCAATATAATTGGTCTAAATTATCTTTCAAGAACTCGTCAATTTTATAATAACATTTGTCTATATACATTACTTAAGCACTTTTTTAAATTTAAATAAGTTCATATTTTTTATTGTATCAAGTAGTTTGTTATAAATTCGTGGGGCAATACCAAAAAAGCTTTTTTCATTAGTAATGTTTCACATTTTATGTACCTAACATAACTTATTAACGTATTGGGTGCGTATTGGATTCTTTCTAATTATATTTGTGGTGAAATAATATGCGGAAATGTTATCCATCAATACAACCAATAACACCCGTTATCTTGTATGTTTTAAGAAATCTGTAGAAAGTCACGAAAACACTAGTTATACTAAAACCGCCACAATAGGATTTATCCAGTGTCGTGGAGGCAGTAATTACTTGTAGGCCATACAAATACTTGTTCCGTGCAGGATTCGAAACCGCGGCCCCCTGCGCTACAACTCCTTGCTAAGCCACTGCGCCACGGAGCCGTCAAAAATTAGACTAGAGAAATCAACACAGCTAAAAATAAGTATGTAAGTACTTTACATTGACGACGTCTCTCTTAGCCCTTGAAGTGGGCAACCTGATAAAGGTATTGGTTATTATTTATTGACTGTTAAGTGCCTCCGTAACTTGAGAGACACATTGGATAACACTTGTTTGGTCCAAGTTCTTACCCATACCGACTAAACGTTATATAGATAATAGCTTGTTCCATAAAATAATAAAGCATAAAAACCTGAAACATAAATGAAAATAAAAAACTGAGCATAGGTACATAATAACTACAGCAGGTATTTTAATTTTGTACATTATTTTTTATACCTTAAGCTCTAAGCTTATTCTTTTACTCCTTCTGAAGTTTTCAGAGCAAAATTAACGGCAGAGTAATTAAAATGCATTTTTACATAATCTGTATCTTTTTTTAAATTCCAATTCAGAATTATCCGGAGGGTCTTCCGTTTGCCGAATAAAAATTCGTTGAGTTATATCACTGGAACGATTTAGATATATTTAATTGAAACAGCTATCAAAATCTAATGATTATTAATCAAATAAATAGTTGAAATAAGGGTACATATATATGTAATATACTAATTAGTAATACCTTAAATAGTAAATTTTGCGTACCTTAATTCTCATCTTTGCTTTCTTGCATCGACTACCAAATGCCACACAAAATAATAAAAAGTCGTAGATCGCATTCTACTTGTTGTTAATAAAAATATTTTAAACTTAAATCAACGAAAATCCCAGGAAAACTTAAAACTAATACTTCTCCATAGCGTTCTCACCGTAAAAATGTCGGTGAGAAAGATTTCGTAGTTCTCTACAGTGTATAGACGATAACGTACGTCAAAAAAAAAAAAAAAGATTCGTGCTGCCGATTCCCATACATTTTGTGTCTTACTATACGTTAAACTATACGAAAGCGATACGTAACGTAGTGTTAGATGTTCGTGGTTCTGAATTTTAGTTACATATACGCCCACGGAGCGCTATTCAAATTCCCATACAAAATTTAACTGAAACTAAACTGTGGCGTAAATTATACGATAGATCAAAATGTTCATGCTAGAGGTACAGATATCGTCGGGGGCTACGTCGTGGCCTCCGGCCACAATGCAATGGGTGCAATGGGTAGCTCGCCGTCCGTCCGTCTAACGACGACAGGCCGTGTCGACGGCGCGTTTTGTTCCACGCGCGCCTCAAAGAGCTGTCAGCAGCGTGAAGGGGCCCGCAAGGGCCGACGCCTGCCGGGGCTGCGGGCTGTTCGAAAGAGATACCGCGGCTCCGGAACGTAAGGGCACTGAAGGAACACGGATGGTTTTTAGTCAGTAAAAGTCTGACACTCCCTTACGCTCCACCCAGAGCGAAAGGCGTCATTAGATGATTTTCCATCCGCAAAAAAAAGGGGTACAGATATCAAACACGTAACCCTAAGCGTCGCTACTTAATGCTGCCACTGCACCACATCAAATAATATGTAAATAATTATTCGTGTGCGGCTTCGGATTACCATTGCAGTAGTAGTGCATCAAAACATTTTACGTGGTAGAGCCATGATGCAGCTATATTAATTGTATAGTTGTAGCACGAATGGGTCGGCTCGACCGGGGAAGGACCACGCTCCTACAGAATACCAGCGTCAAATAGCAGCTTAATGCTGCTGTGTTTCGTATGGTGAGTGTAGAGAACCGGAGAACCTTTTTACTGGAAAAGAGGCATTTCATCATAGTCCCCAAGGCTGACAACGTATCTTCATTTTAACTCGCAAATGAGGATAGATGTAGAGGTCTATGGGCGCCAGCAACCACTTAAAAATTTGCCGGAGAACCAAGGTTACTAACATAGCTTTCCGTGTTTGTAAGCTGAAGTGGCAACGGGCTGGTCATGTCCGTCGCAGAGGTGACAACCGGTGGAGTAGACGTGTTATGGAGTGGAGACCGCGTCTAGGCAAACGTAGTGTGGGACGCCGTCTGACCAGATGGAGCGACGATCTGCGCAAAGTGGCTGGTAGAAACTGGATGCATGTAGCCGAAGATCGGGCTAAGTGGCACGCCTTGGGAGAGGCCTATGTCCAGCAGTGGACTGCCGCAGGCTGATGATGATGATGATGATGATGAATTCTCGCTAAATTTTGCCACCATTTTGTGGTTACCTACCATCAGGCAGAATGTAAGTTCGGTTGCCGTTTCGGTTTCATAAAATATATATATATATATATATATATATATATATATATATATATATATATATATATATATATATATATATATATATATGTCAATCCAGTCACTGATCATACGCTTTACCATCAAGTAATCTCGGCACATTACTTGATAAAAAAGCTTGTGCATAGCCATAAGAATCCAATTAGAAGCGGCGATCTGTCAACTTCATCAGCGCTCTTGTGGTAGCGACGTCGACAAGTTCGGGCTCCACAAACTTTTATGTATTAAACGTTCTCTTGTTTTAGAGTATTGCAAAATATTTAGAGACGATGGCAGGAAACCCGACGATATTACTTTGGTACCTTGGGAAAGAAATAAAGCGCTAGTGTGCTACGTGCGCATTTCGGAAAGCCTCTTGTCTAACGGGTGCCTTGTGTAGAGCTGAGCAGCTTTAGAGGCAGCTAAACTAAGTGGCGCAAATATGAGTCTCTTAGAGATGATTAAATCTTTGTGCCATTTGCTGTACAAACCATTAGCCCGTGGGTCCTCGTGCGGTGAGATTCCTAAACTGTAACTGCGACTGGTTGTTGCTGCTGTTGATAAGAGGGCTGGTTCTTTTCTCCCTCAAAGATAATAGACAGCCATTCAGCTAGGTAACGCTCCCAGCGTTCTATATCTTCACTATAGCGCGGAGAGTAAGATCTGCATGATAAATTTAAGTTTTTAGCTCATGTTTTCTGTTTTTTTATAATTTAATATTGTATAATTTAATGTTAGGAATAAAATTATTTTCACGGATTTCATCCACATCTACACAGAGTGAAATTCAAGACACAGTACGCTTATTACGCGTAGATGTGGCTAAAATTCGTAAAAACTGTTTTATTTTCCGTGTATAATTCACAGCATATCATAAATATGGTAAATTATTATGCAATTGAATAAATAAATGTAAAAAAATAACAATATAAAAAGTCGCTCTCTGCATTTGTTATTGAACAGATTAAGGATTGTTGACTGGGTACATTTTAAAATAAGTGTACATTTTAAAATAAGTGATGCAAGTGTGACTTGAATCAATGTAAAATGAAAGAAACTTTTACATAAATAATATAAGAGGTATAATTACGGACGGTCTTTGCCGCTGATGTAATAATTTACACTAAATAGTCTGAGTCAATTTACGTGCAAGCTATGCACATCTGCTAAGGCTGAATT